GGAGTTTCCCAGGTGGTCGGGCGCATTGAGGCGTTGGGATTACGGGTGGCCCTGGATAAGACGGAGGCCCTATTATTTCATGGGCCCCGTCGTGGTCCACCCGCCGGCTCCTCAATCGAGGTCGGCTCGGTCCTCGTACCGGTCCGGGCCCAGATGAGGTACCTGGGTCTGGTCCTAGACGGTAGGTGGCTCTTCGACGAGCACTTCCGACAGCTTGGTCCGAAGCTGGTGGACACTGCCTCCACCCTAGGGCGACTTTTGCCAAATTTGGGCGGGGCCAGTGTTCCCACGAGGCGGCTGTACGCGGGGGTTGTCCGGTCCATGACGCTTTATGGTGCACCGGTGTGGGTGGCGGCTCTGACCGCCCCGAATAGGGCGCGCCTCTGGCGCCCCCAGAGGATATTGGCAGTCAGAGCCAAACGCGGATACCGCACGGTGTCCACCGAGGCGGCTTGCGCCTTGGCCGGAACACCCCCGTGGGATTTGGAGGCGGGGGTGCTCGCAGAAGTTTATCGGCGAGTGGCTGACTTCCGGGCGGAGAGCGGATTTCGCCCTCCGCCCGAAGACGTGTGCGAGTGGCGCGAAGCCGCTCGCCGAGATACCATGGTCAGATGGTCGTTCCGGCTGGAGACTCCACGCGCTGGCTTCGCCGCCGTGGAGGCTCTCCAGCCGGTCATCGCCTAGTGGGCAGGTGCTTTCCGGGCACGGTTGCTTCGGAAAGTACCTGTACTCGGTCGCTAGGAGGGAATCGAGTCCCGCCTGCCACCACTGCGACTGCAGTGAGGGTTCGGCAAAGCACACGCTGGCGGTTTGCCCCGCATGGGCGACGCAGCGCCGGGCCCTCACTGCAGTCATCGGAGCAGATCTCTCGCTACCGGCCGTAATTCGCTCCATGGCCGGTAGCGACAGTTGTTTTACCGCGATCGCAACCTTCTGCGAGGAGGTAATCTCGCAGAAGGAGGCGGCGGAGAAGGTCCGGGAGGACGACCTCCACTCGGACCTGATCCGCCGCCGGCGAACCGGGCGGCGGAGGCACGCTTACCTGCGCCTCATGCCGCCCTGAGTGTGGCCGCGGGTGGACGGGATGGGTTCTCCCCTCCACCCGCATTAGTTGGCCAGCCGCGAGGGGGCGGCGTCCGCGTGTGCCGGACGTCGCCTAAAAAAAAGAGAGGTCCTGGAGACGGAGCCCGCACCAGGAGCGGGCTGGGCTGGTCCAGAAGGCGATAACTACCTGGACCCCTCCTAAACTGGAAGCGCAAAGAGGGCACACCGTGTGGTTTTCGTCGGGTTCGAGTCCGACACACCGCCCCGCCGAACGAGAGCCCCGGCGAGGTGACGGTCCGAGGGGATTTCCACACGTAAAAAAAAAAAAAAAACGGTTCTCAGTCTTCTAAGATACAGCTGAACTTCAATTTTTTACGTGGAACGACTGCAATCAGACCTTCACAACGCACTAGGCGATATCGAAGTTCTGTAGAAAAACTGTCGTCGGACTTTCTAGGGGTCCAACTACCCGTAACGATTGCCACAGACATTAATAGCGAGGCACGGCGAGGTCTCCATATGTTAAGAATGATCACCCATCCATAGACTGACCTGGCTAACATTGCTTAACCTTGCAATGTGCTAACCTCTTCAGTCACCACTTAGCTATGAAATTGAATTCTAATGTGTAATAAGTCAGGAATGTACATATCGCTATCACAAACCTAATTACATAGGTTGTAACCGCAGTTATCCACAGTCAAACACATAATAAGATAAGGATTGTGAAATCGTACAAGAATCTAAGATACAATCGATTTTACTTAACGATCGTAATGACTAGTGTTTTTGTAATTTGTTTAATGTTTTTTTTTAATTGAAAACAGGTACTAATAAGTACCTGCACCAAAATTAGAACCCGATACGAAGCGATAAATTACACAAAGCTACAGAGCCTCCTGAAATCAGCAAATATTAAAGAACTGAGTGACGACTACACCCTACTAGAAAGCAAAATAAAAATGATGATAGACAGAAGTAAAACAATTAAGACAAAAATCCTAAATACTCCACAAAGCGACTGGATAAACAAAGATATAATAAACAGCATCAATCAAAGAAACAAGCTTTGGATCACACTTAAAGAAAACTCACATAACAACAACCTCAAAGCAGAATATTTTAAAAAGAAACAACAAGTATTTGCACAAATTCAAAACACAAAGGATTCATATTACTACAAGAAATTTAATGACTGTATTAATAAGCCAAAAAGAATATGGAACCTAGTAAATGTATTAGCGAATAACAAGATCAAACAAATTAGTGCTCCTTCAAAACTGCTTATGGATTCAAAATATGTAACTGACGAAAATGACATGTGCAAAATTTTTAATAATTACTTTGCTACTATTGGCCCACTATTAGCAAATAACATACCCAAAAACTTCCATGACAACTCTTCTCGCGCTCTTCCTTGTAATCCCCCTAGTGACACTCCAGTTTTATCTAAACTATATCCGTGTTCTGAGGCTGAAATTTCTAAAATAATAGAGAAACTCGACTCCAACTGCAGTACTGGATTAGATGGTATAAACACTAAAGCAATAAAAAGTATAAAAAATCTAATAGCTAGCGCCTTGAGTAAATGCTTCAATAAACTTCTGTTCACTGGAAAATTTCCTGATACCCTAAAAATGGCAAAAGTTACACCTATCCATAAATCCGGTACAACATCAGACCCCGGCAACTATAGACCGATCTCGGTGCTACCCGTTCTATCAAAAATATTGGAAAGAATTTTGTATAGCCGTTTAGAAAAACATTTAACTTCTTTTAATTTTATATCTGACAGACAATATGGATTTAGACCAAAAAGTAGCACACTTTCAGCAACTATCGACCTTGTAACAAAAATAAAACATAATATAGATAGCAAAAATATAGTCCTAGGTATTTTTATCGACCTAAAAAAAGCATTCGATACTGTATCGCATAAAATCCTAGAAAAAGTTAGAATTGTTGAATATTACTGGGAATGCCTTCAAATTTTTACAGTCATATTTAGAAAATAGATCCCAAATAGTTAAATTAGACAATATACATCAAAGTGACGCACTGCCAGTTACTTGTGGGGTTCCGCAAGGATCTATTTTAGGGCCCTTGCTCTTTTTAATCTACATAAATAATATTCAAGAACTAAAACTACACGGCCACCTTACGCTCTACGCCGACGACACTTGTTTGTTTTACTTTGGATCCTCTATTCATACGATAATCTCCCAAGCTCAAGCTGATTTGAACATATTATACTCATGGTTTCAATATAACCTATTAACTATTAATATCTCAAAAACGTGTTACATTATCTTTAAAGCAAAAAATAAAACTATTCTTACACATACACCATTACTAATAAACAATGAACCCCTACAACAAAAATCGTGTGAAAAATACCTTGGCTTAAGAATTGACAGTCTGCTATCGTGGAATGTTCACTTGGATCATATACAAACGAAACTTTCGTCCCTACACGGATCACTTCGAAATATAGTTAAATGCATTCCTAGCACATTACGCCATAATATATATAATGCTTTAGTTAAACCACACTTACAATACCTAATAGAAATCTGGGGTAATGCAGCTAAGACTAAATTAGGTGAATTACAAATCATGCAAAACAGGCTCGTGAAATTGATTTTTAATTATCCACATCTTTCACCAACATACAAAATTTATAACGAAACCAAAATTATGAACTTAAAACAATTATTTACATATAATACGTGCATTTTTACCCAAAAAATTCTAAACAAAAAAATTCAATCTAGTATATCATTCACTAAAATAAAACATACAACCCAACGTAGTACTCGCCGAGCTAGTTTTTTGGTTTTACCTAAACCTAGAACAAATTATGGTAAAAAAATGCTGACATACGAAGGGGCACAACTATACAATAAACTACCATCGTACATTAAAAATGTAAACTCATTTAATGTATTCAAAACTCGATTAGCCCAATATGTACGTACATCATTCACATAACTTGACCTCGGGTAAATGAATACATTAAATTAGTACCTACCCACAATGATGTTATTTATTTATTTATTGAGTGAAATGACGAACGAACCTGTATAATACTTTAAGTTATTATTGTTCTCAAGTAAGTGACTTTGTTTTTTATTGAGAATAAAGAATCTTTAATCACACCTGCACCTTGTTGGACAACTCAAAATTTCAATGTCCTAGTTGTCGACATATATTATTCGCGTTTAATAGTGTCCATTTAGTGGTCAATTTGGACTAGAAAAATATTCTTATCATTCGTCGAATTTAGTTAAAAAAGTTTCTATATATATTTTTTAATTGGCGACACTGCACTCTATAATTGAAAATTAATATAAAAAGAGAATCTATAAACAAACAAAGGGGAAAAGGTATAGAATTGTTTTTGTTTCTTTCTCTATCTCGCTAGCTCTCTACGGCTACATGAAATTATTGTTAGTCCTCGTTTTTATTTTCTCGGTGAAAAGACATATCTAAGGACATATGGATCTCAAACAAAACATTACTGACGTTCTAGATGTTTCATATGCATTCCTATGCTCTTGACGCAAGCATGCACGTAGCTGAGCATACCCAACTTCCTGATCGGTTGGAACTGTCGCCGCCAGAGGTGGCGTATATTTTAGATTTGCATATTGCTAGTTCAAATAATTCACATGAGGAAAGGGTCTGTGTTATATTACTCCTAATAGAATTATGAATTTGGCAAACAAGCCTCAATAGACTATCATCATCATCAACATCCTTAAATAGTCCAATGCTGGGCATAGGCAGAGGCTAAGGAGAGCCTTAGAAAGGAGGTTTAGGCCTATAGATTTTCTGAACTCCAGAAAGCTTTGGGAAGAGTTCCAAGACCATACTTTGCGAAGACGCATTGTGCTACGTATATTTCATAAAACTCTACATACGTATCTAAGAAATACCCTCATTCTAATTTCCAGCCATACACCCACGTGACAGTGACATCCGATGAAGAAGAACAGAGTAAGAAAAGAGAAGTTTTCACAGCCAACTTGAACTCTAAGCTGACAGAGTTAACAGACGCACCGGTAGACAAGATTGAGAGCATCGACAAGAAACTGCAGCAGACACAGGTACTATAATTGTGTATGCAAGGGTAGAAGGAACGCTGCTAAAAGTGTAAAATTAGAAAGAGATAGAATTAAAAGAAAAATGATAGCGTCTAAATAGTAACCAATATAATAAGACACTTAATTTTCTATTGCAAAAGCAGATTTCATAATTCAATCAGGGATCCTGCTGATCTGGTTGTCACAAGTTAAACAAATTAATAAAACTGATACTCATTTAAGTGAGACAAAGTTGTGACAACGAAAATTTAACTTTATTTCTGTGAATTTTAAATGCATGCACGTATTAGTCTATGGCACAGTTTAAAACGCGTGATAGAGCGCGAACTCATACGCGTTAGATAGACAAAAATTAATTTAAAAATCTTTTTTGATTTTAAAACAGCTCGAGTCACGCTAAATTCGATTAAATATGGAACTATCGACATTCTAATTTTGTGAAACTGTAACTGAACCAATAATTTGATTACTTTCCAATCAATCATTCTATTATTCAATTTATAATTACCAAAAAAACTTTTTTTTTTCACTTATGTAACTAATACCTATCTAATTTTGCACTTTTCTCTTTACTAATTATTTGCACAACTACAAATAAGAAAGGGTTATTGTAATGTCACTTCATTTTGGCTAACACTACATTCTATTATCATTATATTATGAACTAAATTATATAATAAAGAAATTTAATATATTTTAATACCATAAAATACGGTGGAGGGGTTAAATGTGAATTAAAAGAAAAAGGCATGACGTCACGGCTTGCTCTTGTCAAAATCGTTCGCCTTTAATGTGAATTTAACGATTATAAAGTAAATTGAAAACTGGACGATTATTTTAACAGTATTTTAATTAATTTTATTGAGCGAAATGGAGAAATATTTTTTTAGTAAAAGCATCTACCCGATTTTGGACAACCAAGAAAACCGTCTTAAAACTCATTCAAACGGTATTCTTATAATTGAAAAGGTCAAGTTTCAAAAATATTATAAAGTTTTGTCTGTCTTTGTATTATTTTATAGCTTTATATAAATAAATTCGGTCATTTATTACGAGTATACAGTAAATTTCACGTTCGGGGTTAACACAGTCTTACTAAATGTGATTGTATGCTTTTTGCTAAACCTACGTTCAATGGACGGTCGTCATGAACATAGTAACGAAATCGATTGCCTGACATTTCGACCTAAAGGCCAATTCTCGTAATAAAAGTTCGATCTCAATTCAGTTCCGATCAACTTTCGATCTCACAACTGTCATAAAAGGTATTTTCGTAGTAAAGTACTACGTATATGCAACGTTGACTGTAATGTGATTTTGTTTTGTTTTTTTTTTCGAAAATTAAATCTGTAATCTGCTAGTCTTAGTAATACTTTACAATTTTACTACAAAAATACCTTTTATGACAGTTGTGAGATCGAAAGCTGATCAGAACTGAATTTAGACTAAACTTTTATTACGAGAATTGGCCTTTTGGTTGCACTGGCTAATTCAACCGTATGTAACACCCACTGACCGCGTTATTGTATTTTCCATTGTGAACTATTCGTTTCTTACTGTAAGGTATGACGACTACAGCAAATGATTTCATTCACCTGTAACAGAACGTAGTGTTGTTACAGAATGTAGAGAAAGCTTTTTACTTTCTTCTACACTTCATGGAAAATGAATTGCTAGATATATATACACTATTTATTTTAATATAATATTTACCTAAATTATTTCCTATTGCTATTATATGTAGTTAGTGAATTTTTTCGAAACTAAAACTGAACTTAAAGTCGACTTTATTTCAATGTGAATAATTTCGAATTACGAAACGTAGGTCTTTAATATCTAAAAGCGATTATGTACAATTTATTCTAGATCTCTTTGTTATATAATTATAATCTAATTGTGTATGGGAAAGATTCTGTTTATTTCTCGAATTATTCGCTTTGGTAATTAATGATTAATATAGCCATAAATCTGAGGTAGTCGCTTTCGCTTCCATTTTGATACGGCGGATTTATCGAGGTTTATAATTAATGTTTCATTTTAATATTGACTTTCGTTTTCTTTTCGATTGGCTGAACTTACATCTTAAGAATATTTCCTTAAAGAAATTTAGTAAAATAGAGTAATTTAGTGTGTACAATCTAAACTACAAGTTATTTCCGAGTCCATGGGTGCAGGTAGTCACTTACCATAAAGTGACCTGTCTGTTCGTTTGCCCCTTATACTATACCTTATATAACAGCAATATGTAAAACAAAAAAAAAACAAAGACAATTGTAAAAGTTTTTTTTTCAAAAACAAATGAAACAAAATATTTGTTACAGCAACATTTGCTAATGTCAAATAACTGTAATTAATTGATAATTACGAAAGGCTTTAAGAAAAGAAAATAAATTAGACTTAGCGTCGTTAGAATCCAGGGTAAAATAGGTAAAGGAATATGATAATAAAGTTAATTCTACTGTAGAATAATCGGCCTTGATTTATTATTTCTCTAAATATACATATTATTTTTTTAGGGCCACTGACACATTTCGTGACAGATTGATATACAGGTTGTATTTTAAGGAAACGAAAGTGTATATATTTATGTATACTATATCTAAAATATTGTTATATTTGCTATGTATATATCACTGCTAATTTGGTAAGGTCTAGCACTTTAAATGCTTTAATAGCACTTTAGCACTTAAGGTTGATTGTGTGATTAATTTAATTAATGTTTTAAATACCACCTTAGAGTACAAAATTATCGAAAGTAAGCCTTATCATTTACTGTCTGAGTTAATTTTAGGATGTATAATGGTTTGATTATTTAGGATAGATTATTTTGTTTATTCGTGATATTAGGAACCAAATTATTATATTAGTTAAAATCCGCAATTAGCGACCTTTTTTTCATACACTAAACTATATATTAGATTATTAAATAGCAGCGTTTTACCTGAAATAAAACGCATATTAAAATACTTCCAAGTATATATCCAAGTGTAGTAGTACATCTAGTAGTAAGTACATCTAAGTGGCGTCACCAGGCGATAACAAACAGATCTCATAATAAAGCTTCCAGTGACGGTCAAGTGTTTTAATAGCAGCGTTTTACCTGAGATAAAACGCATATTAAAATACTTACCTCACTGGAAGCTTTATTATGAGATGGCATTTCCGTTTCCCGCCGATTTCTTACCAGTTTTCGTACTTTTATCCCCTTTATACTTCCGGTTCAGTGGCGCCACCTGGTGGTTGAGAGTAGCTTTTAGTTTTCGTAAAAAGTATCACGCCATTTTTGTTCATTGTCTCATAACACCAGGCAGAAATAAAGTGAAAGCTTCCAGTGAGGTAAGTATTTTAATATGCGTTTTATCTCAGGTAAAACGCTGCTATTAAAACACTTGACCGTCACTGGAAGCTTTATTATGAGATCTGTTTGTTATCGCCTGGTGACGCCACTTAGATGTACTTACTACTAGATGTACTACTACACTTAGATATATACTTGGAAGTATGTAGTGTATATAGTAAAGGCCAATGTGATAAAGCATGAAATTAAACATAAGAGTGATTAATAATTATGCATATATTTAAATAAATGTACTTATACAGCAATTCAACGAGTGTACATAAGTAAGTGTACTTTAGAATTTAAGAATATTCATTCTAGGTAACCTAAATATTCAAAATGTTTATTCAGCAATTTTAATCAATTGGATTGAAAAATTGTGTGACGTTTTGTGAATCAGTACTTCTCATTATTTCTCGTCTATAAAACTGCTGGAATGTATTAGCTGATCGCCAATTTCCACGAGCCAAAATTTCGTCGAGGAGGTAATTTTGAAACCAGCTTTTGGAGGCTACAGCAGACCGGGTGCTACCTGGAGTGGCTGCAATGCCAGCTTCCCCAAACAGGGTCTTTACCCACCCTGCAATGACTGTACTTGAAGCAGGTTTAGCCACACCTCTTAACGTAATAAACAAATTAGTTGATTTTGCCGCATTATGTCTGTCGTTTAATAATGCTATAGTTCTTTCTGTCCAGAATATAGGGTCAAGGTTAGAACTATCGGTATTTAAAAGCAATTTCCAGCCGGACTGCCTGTAATTACTACCGTCAGTTTTGGAGCCAAACCGAGGCCAAAATATTATACTGTTATCAGATCGTATGCAATGATTAGAATCAATATTAAGTAGAGTAAGATCGTGTATTCGCCTACCAGAGCAAAGTAACAATAAAATTGCAGTATGACGTGACGTTTGAAATAGGTTATTTGAATCAATTGTGTAATTAGTCAAAAATGAAATTAATTTATCAACGTCCCAAACTGGAGGCTTAGTTACTTTTGGATTCTTTAGGCCAATTGATTTTAAAACATGTCTTACTAGAACGTGTGAACTTAACTGACTTGAAGTTTCAGCGTTACATAGTGTAGATATTACTGATTTATGTAAAAGTATTGAATTATACGATAACTTATCATTTAAATATAAATCACATAAAAAGTGCGCTAATTGTGAACCAGAGGGATTCTTTAAATCAAGGTTTTTATCACGACACCACGACATCCAGCGCTTCCAGGCTACCTCGTAGGTTTTTAGAGTCGATTTTCGCCAAGAATTTTTAAGCAGTGATAGTTGTTGCGCGTTCCACGTTTTTATCGCGTCGGACCACCCCCACATTTCCAAACTTCGAGGACAATGTTCTCGACCTTCGGTGGTGGGAGTCCCGTCGACGTGTCTATTAGGTATCTCTGCAGGTTTCTGAGAGTTAATGGGGCCGCGAGCGCTCGAGCTTTGAGATCCGCACTCCAGAACACTCTCTCCCATCGAGGTACTACTATTAGGAATACTCCTGTCGACTGGTTTAAGTGAGACAGGACTTTGGGGACTAGGAATGGTGGTGGAAATATCCATGCGAGCTGATAATTCCAAGGGAAACTGAAGGCATCGTGGATCGTCATTGAGGATCTCTTAGATCTAGAGATACATAATTGTGTACTACATGAGCAGTCTCCGAGGCAAATAGATCTATTACTGGGGTTCCCCATTTTGCAAACAATAAGTCTACACAGGTCGCTAGTAAGTGCCATTCTGGAGGTTGGCGAAGGCGCGATAAGTGGTCCGCATGATTGTTGTATTTGCCCGGAATGTAGTGTATGTTGAAATGTATCTGATGTTGGTCTAACAAATTCAGAATTTGATAGGTTATTTCCAACAGGGCTAATGTCCTCGTACCTCCTTCCTTTCGCAGGTAGGCGACCGCCGTTCTGTTGTCGCTTTGAATGAGGAGCGAACTTTGATGGAGCCAATGAACTTGGGTCTGAAGAGCGAATAATATTGCTAGCATTTTTTTTTTTTCGATTGCAATGCAGCGTTTTCTCTTCTTGCGACCAAGTTCCTGACAGAGCCAAATTGTTCAGTTGTGCCCCCCACGATTGATCCGACGCGTCTATAGTCAGAAAATTTATTGGAAGAGGGTACTGAAGAGGTGTTGACTTTTGACAATTTTGGGCCCACCAGTTTAGTTCCTCTAAGACACCTTGTGGTAGTGGGTAGGACTTTAATGGCAGGATTGGCAGCGAATTCATTAAGATTAATAACTGTCGATGATTCAGCCGACCCCGTGGGACAACAAAACTGGCAAAATTTAGAAGACCTACTATTTTCTGCAACTCCTTCAAGGTTAACTGCTCTTGTTCGAGAGCCTGATTTATCTTCGTGATGATGCCCTGAGCTTTTTCTTTTGGTAGGGTTTTTTGATTTTCCCATGGTTTCCATAGTATCCCTAAATAAAATTTTACTCTTTTGAGGAGACAGAACAGATTTTTCGAAATTTATTTGCAACCCCAGTTTTTGTAATGTCTGTACAGTTATTTTGACATGCTCGCGAAGCATGTGAACATTCTGGTGTACTAGCAAATAATCGTCCAGGTATACCAGGATTCTCATGTTCCATTTTTCCCATAATGTTTGGGCCACCCATTTCGTGAGCATGGAAAAGGTTTTTGGAGCAGTGCTCAGACCGAATGGAAGACAAGTCATTTCTAGCAACTTCTGGTTGTATATTAGGCGCAGAAAGCATCTGTGCTATTTGTTTACGTTTACATGAAAATATGCTTGGGACACATCTATTTTGCACATCCAGTCCTGAGATTGCAGAAAGTCCGGAATGCGGTACATGTTTATTAAATGAAACGGTTCGGTCCTCACATATTCGTTTAGAGATTTCAGATTGAATATGGGACGGGCAGATACGTCGGATTTTGGAACCAGAAATAGAGGGGAAATGAAGCTTGGCGAGGGTAGCGCTTTCCTTAGAATTCCCTGCTGTTTCGTTTTGTCTACAATTAAAGACATTTGTTCTGAAACGGCAGTTTGAAAAGGCCCCTTCGTTACATCTGGATAGACCAGTGGGGGCTTTTGAAAGAAAGGTATGCGATACCCTCGACTTATTTTTAGAACTATTTCTGTTGCTCCCATTTCCGCCCATTGTGATTGATAGTGTATCAACCGACCCGCCCGAAACGGTGTCTTGTCATTGCTTATACCTTTTCCCCCCCTTTTTTTTTTTTTTTTTTTTTTTTTTCGTGCGGAAATCCCCTCGGATACCACCTGTCGGCGGCATGTCGGACACGAACCGACTAAAACCACACGCCGTCTCGGGTACTAATAGCCGGGGAACCAGGTATACCTTTTTCCCCTGTAAGTTTTTGAGGAGTTTGCGTCCTCGTGTACTTCCACGTTCGGGCCGCGAGCCTCGGTTTCGAAATGAACTTCTAGTATTGAAGTGATCACATTGACTTGAAGAGTTACCTCTGGAAGAGTAATGTGTATGTTGGCACTGACCATGGTACTCACCCCGCGAGGGTGGGTTATGACCGGTACGCACATGCGATCCTGGTCCGTTAGATTGAGTCCCACGCGATGGAACTGTCGGTTTTCGTGCGCCTTGCCCCCACGAGGGGCGGCTACTAGGTTGGTAAGGCTTTTAAGATCTTTCAGTTTTAGGAGGCCTTACGGACGGACGGCCTTTAGGCCTTAAAAGCCTTACGGACCCCGCCAGCCCTCTCTAAAGTAGAGGTAAAGGGCTCAGCATTAAATATGTAAGTACTTGGAGGTATTTTGTTCAGGAATGCTTTCACTAGAGGATCTCTAACATGACTCGTAATAGTTTCTCTACGCATTTCAATACTTTCAGCTCTATGGCCGCATGCTAATTGCAAAAGGTCTGAGGATATTTTATGAAATTCGCCCTTTTGAAATAATTCGTCAATCTTCCCATTTAAATTATCAAAATTGATACATTCTGAATTTTTTGCCCATGAAAGAAGATCACGAATACCTTCCTGCAATGATTGTCTCTGTTTTAATCACAGAACATATATACCCCTAAAGGGGTTTTAATATGCAGTAGTTAAGGCTGCGTACGATTTGTAGAAGCCAAAATGACTAAGGGGCTTGCAATAGACCCCCTTTGTTTTCCGCGTATAAGCCCATGGCTATGATTATATAAGGCTTGCGTACATTTTTGCAAGAATTTGCCAAAACGTGGTTGCAAATTTAAATATATGGGGTTTTTTGGCTATTTCTTTAACAATCAAGTTCAAAAGTGTGAAAATCTTAAAAACTATCGTTTTTGAAAATGTCTTGTTGGAAAAAAATCCTCGATTTCATTCGTAAATTTGATCATAAGGTTTAACTAATTCGAACAAAAGAAGCTTATCTAAACCTTCAATGGAATTTTTCAATGTACTTGGGTGGGTTATTAA